TTTAATATGCCTCTGAAGCTTTAAGGTTGACAAGCAGATGATTCCAGAGCGCAGCCTTCCTGTACGGATGTTCTTTGTTTCCCCTCCTGTCCTGTCTCCAAACTCAAAGCCACAATTACTCTTGAGTGTGTGGGAATCATGAAGAGAGCCAAGTGCCTGGAACAGGGGCTCCTGTCTTGAGCAGGAGGACGGTATCATCCAGAGCCTTCTGAGAGGGAACATGCGTGTCCGCTGTTTGGTGGCAAGGGGAACGGTAGGACTACCTGTTGGCCAGACTTCTGGAGTAGCAATGTTTTTGCACTAACTAGAAACACTTATGTATCTTACTGCCAATTGCAAGCTAAAATTGACAGCACCAGTTTAAATCCAAACAACAAACCTGTGCTTATCTCAGTGAACCATTTTAGTGAAAGCTGTATCAAGGCTGAGGAGTTTGCTTAAAGATGGGATAGAGGCAAAGCTCTGAAAGCTTGTCAGCTGGATTAAGTGAAGAAACCAATTTAAGCTACTTTAAAGTATAGTAAGACATGGTTGTATTTGTTACTGGAGTAACTCATTGCTGTTGTGGTTTGTATATTAAATTCTTGCCATGCTCCCATTGATTTGCCTGCAAAATATTCTAGCTAGTTCATAACTAGTAAATTATAGTACACATAACTGCATGCATACTAAATTACAGTGGGAGTTTTTTCTCTTAAACTGTTGATTTAAGATTGTGTGGCCTTAGTACACAGTTTATAACCAGTGAATCTTGTGGATTTACGTAAGCTCCCATGTGAATGGTCATGTTAAGTCATGTACCCAGTCGTAGCTCAGCACTGGTAGCCGTAACTGTGCAACAGGGACCATCAAAATGTTGCATTAATTAGAAGGCTGAAGCCAAAGAAAGGAAACACAGATGTATAGAAGAAAGCAAGCTCTTTATGTAATGCTTCTAGTAGTTGGCTGTATACTGTGGGAAAAATGGATAAAGCCTAGTAAAAAAAAAAAAAGCAGATGTCATTGAGAGGTGATAGTCTTGTTATCTGTAAGAGCTGAATCAAGCTAGTGAATATTCACCTTGGTGTGTCTCTTCTATGTGATGAGGCTCTTCAGTGTCCTATTTGGGCTTACAGGCAGCCCTTTACTTCAATTGCAGTTTACTTTGCTAAAGCAGTTCCATACAATGGGAAGAAAATTACTGTGTGTGAATATGATGCTACATTAGCCCCTAGTGTATATGATCTTACTAATAAACTGTGGAAGACTTTCTTTGTAAGACTTTAGACATGAAAGACAAGTGGTGATGGTGTGGCTAACATATGGCATCTGTAGTGACGGTAAGCAAAAGTGGCTAAAACTGATGAGGTGGAATGGTGGTTGATCTGGAATAAAGATCTTTCATGTATGAGTATGCATACAGTATATATCCATGCATCTCTACCCCCTTATTAAGACATATTCTCTCTCAGCATTTAGGTGGCTGTTGCTGAAATTCAGTAACTAGTACTATGACAGAGCAGTTTGGGAGTTTGCCCTCCCAGCATAGGGCATGTCAGTTTCTTTTAAAGGGTCTGGATAGCTGTGACTTAAATGCCAGCATTATGCCATCTCATCAGAAGACTGGCTTGTTCTTTCTGTCAAGAGTGACAAGTATTCACCCTGCAGTTAACTTTAGGCAGAGCTTCGGTAAATCTGTGACTCTTACAAATAAGTTTTATTTCTAAGGCCATTTTTTAGAAGTTGTTGAGTAGTGAGGTTTGAATTTAAATACCTGAGCTAGTTCCACAGTACCGACCAGCTGCATACTCATACATTTGTGCAACGTTTGGAATATTTTTTGCTTTAGTTGGTTTTGACATGGTAAAGGAACTTTAAACTAAGTTTTCGGTTTTGTCTGGGAGTTGTACTGCTAAAGTCCCTTTAATAAGTGTGAAGTTGCAGTAAGTTTTACTTAAAGTCAGCCTAAATGGAACCATGCTGATAATCTGAGTGTCTCCAGATCCCAAGGACTATAAACCACTCATCTAAAGTGTACAAGAATTGGGCCAGTATCTGTTGTATGTACTTCCTGCAGTGTACCAAGTTGTGGAGTTTTAAGAAATCCTATTAAAATACCAAATGAGATTTGAATCTTTGTAGCCATATGCTAAATTGCAAAACTAGAGTGTGGGACAAAAGGTCACTGTTTTATCTATTAGTTATAGAACTTTCTTTGTTAATTATGCATTCATCCAACTCTGAATGTGCATCCTGCTATCTAGTTTAATTAAGTTTTGTTAAGTCATTCAGAGTGCTTATCCCATATTTAGAATTTAAACTTTTTTGAATAATGACATTAAGCATACTGATTTTTTTGACAAAAAAAGACCACAATTAAATGTTATCTTCTGTGTACGTTGTCTTCCTGTTGCTTATAGCACTCTGCAGAAGTTTTAAAATGTGTTTTTGAGGGCATGAATATGAGAAATCTTCTTTGTGTATTGAAATGTAGCTGTATAATGAGAGCTCATGTCTTTTTTAGTTAGTTGTTGTGTTTGCCAGGGTTTTTTAGCTTGGTGTCGCTCTCCTCCCAACCCCCAAGCATTTTCCTTCTGCATTTACTTATTATGAGTCAACAAAATCTTCTACTCAGCTGTGGCCAAGATTATTTTTTTAATTTATTGTAGTACCATTCTTCAGCATTTTAGCTGTGTGGATTGTATGGTTGATATCATCCAATAAAGCACTTTTTCAGCTTAAAGAGAATTGAATCATTTGCGATCCAGTTTTTGAATTGCAGCACTTTTTAATTAAACACATAAGTATGTAGACAAGTATAATTGTTTCCAGCCTCAAACACTAAGAAAAAAGCCAGTACAGCTTATTCATTTCTTGCTAAGAAACTTTAACTAGGAAGAAAATAGAGTTTAATCTCAATGTTCCATTAAACTTACAATAAATTAGAAAGAATTAAATTATTCTGATGATTACAATTTACATCTATGAAACTGTCTCTCCTTAGAGCTATGATTTTGCTTTTGGGCAGTCTGATGTCTTGCTCTCAGAAAAGAACCAAAGCTGCTTTATATAGGAGCCTTATTTTATATTATTTTTCATTGTTTATAGGTTTTATAAAACTTTTTGTGAGGAAGTTGATTTTTCTAAATCCCATGCCTAAAATGGAAAGATGAAATCTAAATAGTCCCTTTAGAGAAATAAGAGCTGTAGGCAAGCTTCTCCTGTCCTCCGTACTAAAAGCTAAAAAAAGGGCTCTCTGCAAGTATGGTGTTCAATCTCTGCTTGTTTTCTAAATGTCAAGCTGCAAGACGAGTTTATTTAAATACTTTCTTAGTGTTACTTGTTGACATAGCAGTTGTCTGAGTTCCCATCAGGGTGTTATTTGATCACTGGTAGGAAAGGCGTAAATTAGACAACAAAAAAAGAAGAGTTGAGAACCTTAGAGCTGGAACAGTTTTGGTGGCCTATAAATACTTGTCATCATCAGTTTCACACTCTTGGGACTTGGCTGAAACATGATTTCCATATTGAACTAGAGACTAGATTGAATTAAATTTAATCTTTGTTTACTGCATTGCAGTATTGGGAAGGTCAAAAACTATTGTAGCTCAGTTCAGTCAGGTTTTTATTACCTTACTTTTTAGATTACCCTGCATATATTATGTGTGTGTATATATATATGTACATACACACATCTATCTAGATAGATAGATCAAGTGTGTATGTCTATATTTATGTGTGTGTGCATATATACACCGTAACCTATATTGGCACAATAACCTGAATCTTGCTGCTTTTTTCATACTCCTGGTGAATCCACCAGCACAGGTGAAGTTTTACCTGCTGGGTTGTGCAAACCATCAGCCCCAAAATCCCAGCAGCCCCACAGCTGCTCTTGAGGCTGACTGTAGCTGCACCACGGGCTTTCGAAACAACCCTTGTCTCCCCCCACATTTTGATGGTCCCTGTTGCACAGTTACGGCTACCAGTGCTGAGCTACGACTGGGTACATGACTTAACATGACCATTCACATGGGAGCTTACGTAAATCCACAAGATTCACTGGTTATAAACTGTGTACTAAGGCCACACAATCTTAAATCAACAGTTTAAGAGAAAAAACTCCCACTGTAATTTAGTATGCATGCAGTTATGTGTACTATAATTTATTAGGTATGAACTAGCTAGAATATTTTGCAGGTAAATCAATGGGAGCATGGCATCGGTCCTGCCTGCTAAGCCAGATCTCTTCTAGAAGCCTGATCATGCCTGCATGGAGAAAGTGTTAATTGGGATCTCTCTTTTTATATATTAAATATCCTGATTTTAAAACAGAATTGTATTTAGATATTTTGAAGAATTGTTTGAATGCTCATGATTTCTGTGGTCAAAATTGTTAGAGGTAGTAATCAATTCCTTAACTTTCCCTCCCTTTTAAATAAAGGGAAGAATAAAAGTAAGCTTGCACCAAATATTTGGTGCACCTGCTGACTTGTGTGTGACTTGACTGGAGAAAGGGACACTTTTTTGGTCTTGCAATTGCTTTGATCTAGGGAAGAAATAGTGCTGCTTGGCAGTGGAAAATTACATGTTTAGTTGTGTAAAATGAAGTTGTATTCATCTCTCCCTGTTCTGTTACAAAGCCTGCGTTTTTCTTGGAAGTAGTGGAGAATTTCATGGGGAGGGGGAAGGGATCTCAAGAAACAAAAATGCACAAAATGAGAATAGAGAAGAAAAAGGAATGATGCTTTAAAGGGTGATAGTTGCATCTGAATTGAGAGGTGGGTAACAGTATTTGAAAGAAAAAGGCTGTAATGTTGGCTAAACAGGACTACTAGCCCCAAAAATAACTTGATAGCAATATGCTTTTAAAATAATTTTTATTTCATCAAGCAAAAGTTATGTCCTATCTAGCTAAAATGTATCAAGCTTTATAGAAACTACAGATATTGCTTTGGAGACTTAAAATTGTATGAATATCACATTAATTACTCCTTTTCCATGTGTTCTTATTTACAGACCAGTCTTTCCATATGGGGATGGGGAAGTCTTGGCGTTGTGCTTTTTCTAGTAACTTTTGGACCCTTCGCTATATTTTACTTTTCATTTTATATCCTCTGCTTTGTGGGTGGGTAAGTATACTACTTACTGTTTTGTATAATTTACTATGAAAGTAATATTTTAATGTGTATATTAGCAAATAGTTTGCTCTGAAAATCTGAAGTGGCTTCTATGTAATATTTCCACATTTGAGCAGCTCTTTGTGAACCAAGATGTTTTTTATGAAATCTCAATTTTATCAAAAGTAATTTTTTTTCCGCTGTTGAATAGTGCTTATACTACTTTTGCCCAGGCAAAAAAAAATTACTTCTGATTTAAAAAAAAAAAGGTAGCTATTTATGTAGGTGTTGGAGGACAAATACTCACATAAAACCAATGTTAACTTGAGTTCTTACTTTCTGTTACTGTGTCAGTTCTTTTCCCAGGTACTTTCTCAGTAATTATGTCCCTTTTCCTTATCACAATCTCATTTTCCTACCTAAGATACTTCATTCATGAGGAAAGTAAGTGGATGTTTCTGGGTGTGTGGATATGATGCTACATCTTGAACGAGTAGCTCAGTTTGGCAGCTGTAGACATTTCATAATTTATAGACAGGAAGGGAGCAAATGAGTGATATTTTTGTAGATTTTAGCACCATTGTTACATTGTATATTGTAATGTCTGTCTTGTAACCATTAAAACTTTTATTTTTAATGCCAAGTCTAAATGTACTAGTGAGATATTCCTCCTTCCTCTCACTTGTAAAACTAATCTGCAGGACAGTAACAGTTCTAGGCTCTCCAAGACCTGCTTGACTTCTAATGGGGTATTCGGGCTATCTTTAATTTTTTTTTTCCTTCCTTTGAAACATCCTTTTAACCTCCTTTTCGGATACAGAACTGTGTACAGAATGTGTCTATATTTCTGTGTGTCTCATAAAAAAATGTTGTAGGGTTTAGTGGCTAGAATTAGAGCCACTATGCTTGGATTTCAGCTGCATTAATTGTGGAATTCCATCTCTGAGAAATCAGAATAGTCATTCTACCAGAGTGAGGATGTACTTGAAGTAAAACTATCTTTTAAGTAAATGCTTTTGTCTTGTTAAATCTTGATTCATGTATAATTGGCATATTTTGCTGGCTATTTGTCCAAGGCAAAGAGTTTGTCCATTTACTGTTTTGTATTACTAATTTCTTAGTATTTGCAGTATGAAAAGTAATGTGGGATAGAATAATTTTAGAAGCTTATCCTTCCTTCCTTGCTCAATTTCAGTTGCTTGGCTTTTCAAAGCAAACAGTCAAAGCAGTCTCTCATGGAGTATGTCTGAAGTCAGCTACAGTTTGCCACCATGAAATTGCCTCTAGTGTCTGAGCTCGGTCATTCTCAAGTCAGCTCTGATGTCTCTTTGCTGAGATTCTTTTCTGCTTTAGTTCATTTTTGTAGCCAGTCAGTGAACATTGATCATCTTAAGGATAAATTCGTCTTGTGGTAGTGTATCTGTTAAAGCGGAATTTGTATCCATCTTCCTATTATGTGTTTACTTATGTAGTCAAATATGAAGTCACAGCCCTTCCAGTAGAATGTCATTACTTCATTAACATACTCATCTTCTTGGCTAAGGTTGTGATCTGGCCCTTTTTTATACTGTTAATCTTGACACACCTACTTTAAATTTTAACATTCAGCATACAGATCTGTGCGTGTTAACTAGGTCAAATAGATTTATGTCTAAATTATTCTTGTCTGCTTTTTCTTTTTGAATTAATTCCTGTGAAGTTATGCAATACTTGGTCCTGTTTCTCTTAGAAACAAACAGAAATGAATGTTGTGAAGTAACTTGTTCACTTATGATTAGCAATTATATATCATAACATTATTTACATAAAATAAGAAAATAAAAATCTAATTTTGGTTCATGATTATACTAGTTTCCTTAATACTTACTGTAACATTATCTGGAGCAAAATAACAAATTTGGACATTGATTTTATGGTAGAATTTTATGTTAAAACTTGCAGTTGTATCCAATTTGGCATGCAGTTTTCTCATTTTTTATACTTGTTCAAAACCAGTGACCTTTATCAATAGTTTCTGACTTCTACTAGCTGGGAATCCACTTCTGTCCCATTTTGCAATTCTAACAAATTAAAATGTTGAATTGTAGCTGATTGCACCCTTAGTATTGACCTAAACATTTGAAGTATATGCCAATGAGTTGTGAAGGAAAACAATGTTGATGCCATAGCTGTATTGACATAATCAATCTGTTTGTACAGTTTCATTTCTGTTACGTGCAATCCAATTATTTCTTAGTGATTTACTTTTAACTGTGGGTTTCCTGTTACAGATAGCTGGTAGTAAGTGTACTGTTGTGTGCATGGAGGGATACTGAAACCATTTGTATGTATGAATAAAAGCTTTAATCAAAAGTTGTCTTTGTTTAATTTTGTTTCAAGACTGATTTATAAAATGTTAGCTTTTTTGTTTTGTAGTACATCCCTCTTCAATTACGGATATGGTAACACATTGTTCAGGGAATTGAGCTCTTTCCACCAAAAGCAGGAGGGAAAAGATAGATATAATTTCTCTAACCTGCATAGCCAAGACTATTAGAAGCTGTTAATCTTTATGAAATACTTTTTGCCTCTACTCTAAGTGTTGGTGCAAACTCCTTAACCTGTGCTGGGCCTGTCATACCATCTGCCTTTTCTTTGTACCATGTATGTCTCTTACTTCACTCCTTCCCTCTTTCAATCCTAAGCAAGTAAAATAAAAATAATGTGGATTGCGGCTCTGCCAAGAGCTTTAGGCTTCCGATGTTATGAGAGTTGAAATTTCTTGGACCCTCGATTGCTTTGCCATTTAAAATAATTTGCTCTGTCATCAAAAAACAAAATTATTGATACTTAATCATATCCATATATATGTGACCGGCTGCCTACACTGATGATTCTAACTGCTGACCAAATCAGGAACCATTCTGAAGCTGTTTTTTGACTTTCACAAAGCATTCAGCTGAGGCTGTTACTTTTCAGACTCGATGGGGAAGATGATAAATCTGTAGACTTCATTTTCCTATCTGTCACCTTTGTTCTGTTAATCCGTCCTTGTGAAAAGCTGATCTTCCAATTATCTTTGGAAATACTTAGCCACAAAAATATAAGTAAAATACAACTTTTCCTTTTTCTGCTCTATTTATTTAGATAAAAGACTAAAATGATTTCTCATTTACTGTGTTGAATATCCTCTTGATAAATTAGATGTGAATTTGCACTGAATGGTCAGGCAATGTATACCTCTCTAATGTGCGCAAGATTTTAAATTCGAGAATAAAATGTGTTAATTTCTGCTATAGAGGCAGAAGCTCCTAGCATGTCTAGCTTAAAAATGAAAATACTTAGAAGCATCTCAGAAAACGAGCATATACTTGGATTATTTTGGTAGCATATATATATATATATAAAAAAAATAAGTCATTAACTTTAGAAATGTCATAACATTTGAGGGAAAACAGATGTATAATCTATAGCTAGTTATTTCCAAGGCTTCAATCCTTTTGAAGAAAAGAAGAACCTCTTCTCTTCTTACCTACCCCCACCCCCCCCAGTTGCTGATACATGTTTGAAGTTAAAACTGATTTTTGGGGGGAAAAAAAAAAAAGTATTTTGGGTACACTGTTTTCTTTAAAGGAAGACTGAGGTCTCTAATAGCAAAGTAGTAGATAATAATGAGAAACCCCATACTTCTTAATAATTAAAAAAAAGCAACAAAACACCTCCCCAAACCAAACAGTTTGTTAACTTTTAAGCATAGTGAAACTATTGAGATTTTTCTAAGCAGGTGTTTGTCCTTGAACTGAATTACGATGTTACTAGGATGTTATGATTTTAAAGCTGTCTGGAAATATCTGGAGCAGAAGAACAATTGGACCTGCTTTTATTTTTTTATCCTCATACATAGAAAGTACACGTTTGGCAGATAAAGATGGCTGAAAAGAATCAGAGTATGGAGTGAAATTTTCTTACGCATTATCAAGTTACCAGTAATATTTTTGTGTAGGGTTTTTTGTTTGTTTGTTTTGTCCTGGAGTTCTTCAAGTATAAATGACCACCTCCCTGCCTCTGAATTACTGAGCCTCTAGAGTACTTAAAAACAATGGTTCCCAGTTTGGGAATTAAGACCTTCAAGTGGTGTGTTTACCTTGGTTAGGAATTTTTATTCTAATCATGTAAGTTAGAGTATCATATATCAACAGCAATGTATATTAATAGAATGTATTATTTCAGCACATTTCAAGCCTGGAACAACTTTGTGAGTTCCTGTGGTCACAAATATTGGTCAGCTGGCCTTTAGATTGAATGCTTGGAAATTTGTGTAAAAAGCTGTGCATGTTTAGCCATCCCAATACTAGTCTGAGCAGCAGTAACTTCATATTCTCTCTTTTTTTTTATGCTGTACTTTTCAAAGGCTACGTATTTTGGTTATGGGGTACAATTGGTACAGCCTTTAGGTTTTCATCTATTTCTTAGTAAAACAAGCTTTATGTTTGTGTGGGTTTGTGCCCTATTGTCATAAGCTGTAAATAAATTACAGCTGTTGTGGCAAGGTTGAACTTTTTATAATGGTTGCTTTTTCTCTTATGCTTTCATTATATCATAAAGAAAACAATAATAAAATTAGCTGCTGTCCTGCTTAACTATAAGTCATAATTTGAATTATCATTGTAGAATTGTGAGGGAAGAAGATAATGAATTTCTGATCTAACATTCTAAATGATCCAGGAGTGCATTTATTTAGATTTTATATTCTGAATTAATACAAAACACCACCCCCAAAAACCCCAACAGCTTGTGTTTGACTTCAGTTATCCTCTAGTCTTCTTCCTTGACTCTGTTCTTATGCAGCCTGGCAAGACTGCTGGGTTTTTTTCTTTGCAGCTTAAAATAAATTCCCAGTTGAAATTTTTCTTCTTGTTTAAACATATGCAATCAGTAGTTAGTTACTATACTTACCACATCAGTTTCTAACTGGTTTGTGGTTTTGTGGCTTATGCCACAATGCCATGGCCTAAATGTATCTAAGAGAATCTTTGTAGAAATACAAACAGAGCAGCTTTATGTATTTACCCCTCTTTTCATGTACTAATATTTGTGAGCATAGGTAGCATGCCACCACAGGTTCTTCTCATGCAGCAGGCTGTGTAGTATAGACTGTGCTATATAGATCTGCTATGTGATAAGAATATATCAAGACTGATAATGCAAGACTGGGAAACTTTGTATTGTGTCAGTTATTTTGAGCAGCATGCTACACTGTGGAAGAGCACTGTTCTAGGGGAGTAAACTGTGAGAATTGTCATATATTGTCATTTTATAGCTTGCTGTGGAATATTGTCTAGAGAGAGGGGGGAAAGGTGACTGTGGTTCTAGCTGGTCTTTCTTTTTCCATTGTAGGGGTTTTGTGGTTACTCTTTTATTTGGAAAAAGCAACTCAGAAAAGTACCTTGAGCAGTGTGAACATTCATTTCTTCCTTGTACATCAGTTGGGATCCCTAAGGTAAGGACAGTTTACTGGTCTTAACTTCTAGATCAGTTTGTAACTTTGAAAATTAGAGTAACACTAATAATCAGTTTTAATCTAAGAATTGTACCCGTTTCCCAAGGTAAAAGAGCCTGTTCTGATGTTTTGAGTCAGCTGCAATGTGCAAATGAAATGCAAGCTTTTTCTTTTTTGAAATACAAGGTTTTTAAGCATTTATGGAAAGTTTGTTTCAAGTATTGTTTCTGGCTTCATTATGAGAAATGGGTAAGATGTAACTGGCTAATATTATCTGTGAGGGAATTACTAAACCATTCTTTTCTAGACTGCTTGTGTGTGTTGGTTTTTTTTGGAGGGAGTAGTAGTTCCTTCTTGCTTTTTTTTCTTGGAAGATTGTCGTGACTGTTTAGGATTCTTCCATCACTAGATCTGTAGTCTCTCCAGTTAGGATTCTTTTGATTGTTTGTAGTCAGAAAGTTGCTTTCTAACTAAGAAGAGTTAAATAAATAAACCTAAATAAAGTCTACATTTACAGCACTTCAGGGGTGTAGAAGTTGTTATCTTTGACTCTTTTTAAGACCAAGGGAGAATTCTGGAAATGCATAGGCAGATGTGGAGCAGCAGTGGGATCTGCTTTTCAACTCTTCTCTTTTTTTCTGAATTGTTAACTGACACATTATTTTGGTCGATGGACCTAAATTCAGGGTTCCTACTTGGATAAACCTGCATCTCTTTAGTACAGAATAAGTTCTAAATAGCCAAGAGAGAGAATTTCTAGGAATACTAGTGTATGAACCAATATATCGTGGCAGCTCAGAAATTTAGATCTATTTTGGTCTGAGCTATTTACACTCATCAGAATAGAGAAAACACTTCAACCCAAAGACAGCTAGTTGTGTTATATTTCATCTCACAACTGTTTTGACTGAAACATCCTGCCCTTTTTTAGCTGTCAGGTCACGATGCTTAATGTTGTCTGTGAAAGAGGGAGGGGTGCATGTGTGTGTGTGTGCCCGTAGAAAGAAATGCGTTTTGTGATTCAGCAGTATGTTTTCTAATCACAAAACTTCTTTGTGACTGGTTCATAGCTCGGTTGGTAAGTGGCCTTTTCGCTGAAGTTGTTGAAGCTGTTGAGATAAATCTGGAACTTGGTATATTCTAAACTGTAATGTCACCAGTCCAAGTGAGAAATATAAAGTTTAAGGCTGAAAAGAGAGAAGTCAACAATCAACAAATTATTCTATTCCATTAACAAAACCTCATTTTAGGGGACTAAGGTTCTTGGTGCTGTATGGACTTCAGTGCTTACATTATGGATTGTGGAGTGTTGCTTATGTCTTGTGTTTTGAGAGCAGATTTACAAGAAATTTTTCTTTTAGACTTGTTCTACATTCCTGAAACTTTTTTAGTTTAATGTTACTTCTTTGAGCTCTGTACATATGTATGTTTTGCTTGCTTTAGAAAAGAATAAAGTGTTGCAGGGTGGTTTTTCCATAATTCTGGTGAATTTATTAGTTTGACTTCTGATTTGAGTGTGAATTATTGACACATCACTTTTCTCAAATGACCTGTCTTGACTAGTCTCTGAATTTAAGTTTTGTAGCACGAAGGTATTTATTTTTAACCGGCTTAACAAATGCTGTTTAAAATTGTTCTCCAGCTAAAATCTGTTTGTTTTCTACAATAGTATTTTGTATTTCTTTTTTGCCACTGTGTTAAAATAGCATTAGCTAGTTTAGCTGAGCTTTTCAGTAGCGGTGCAAGAAGAGATGAGTCTTAACCAAAACCAAATGTGTGGTTTGCTTGGGGTTCCTATTTTCCATTTCTGTGTTAAATTTCTGCTGACTTGTCTTTATTGGAAAGTAATATTTTTAACTTGAAATTGTTAATGTTTAAAAAAATGTTTAAAACCATTGTGGCCCTAAGTGGTCTTGAACAATGAATGTTCTTTCAAGTGGCTAGTGTATAGGTTATGCTTCTTCCATGAACCAAGTACAAACTGAATTCACTTCAATGTTAAATTCTTTCATGATACCGTATTTTAAGAAGTAATCTGATGATACAGGTTCTTTATAAGAAACTATTCCCAAAGGCAGGCAGAGTTTTATTGATTGTTTTGAGGGTTTTTGTTAGGTTTTGTTAGGTTGTTTTTTTAGGCTAAAATGAATGTTCAAATGCTTGATTTTAATGAAATTGGTTATAATTCAGAGCACCAAAACTGTAGATGGAAATAATGTGTAGAATGTACCAGACTTTTAAGTTACAGCTCAGAATTTGGTGCAGATAGATTTCCTTGATTGCTGCTTATTACACTTACTAGCAAATATATATTGAATGTCTCACGTTAAGGAGGAATAGTTATGTAAGTTTGATGGAAGATTATTTACCTTTCTGCTATTTTTTTTTTCTGCATACATGCAGGGAGGTTTAAAAATTAGGGTTAGACTTGCTTTTCTTTTTGCAAGTCTGTTTTATATAACTTATGTGTCAGGAATATACTCGATGATGCCATAATATTCTGGCTCTGTAAGATACACAGTTGTCTGCAGATTTGTATAAAATAATGTTGAAAGAAAGGCAAGTTTAGAGCCTTCTGAACTCTTAACTGGAATGCCATTTCCAGTAAAAATTTTAGATTCAGTCCAACTTTAGCAGAAGTGTGGACTGTCCAGTTGTTGTCATAATTGAGGTCTCTTATGCTTCATCCAAAAGGCAAGGAGTTTTACTTGCATATTTTCTGTGTATATGTCCTTCTCTCTTCTGGCTGCTGCTTTTTCTGCTGTGTTTTCCAAATGTGGTTTTATGCACGCAGTCCTCAAACTTCAAAACGCGTCTGACAATTTTATTTGGCAATTTGAACTATAGTTAGTAAAATGTAGGCTGGGTACAATATTGCCAAATTACTGTAAGATAAATTGGTTCACTATTCTAAGTGCTAGTTGCATATTTGATGCCTGACTAGTCTCTGAATCTCTTTATTTTGAGTCAGTTGATTATATGCTGTATCCCGTGTTCTGGATTTGATGCAAATGTGCAAATCCCTGTGTCTTATCCACTCGTGAAGGCCTGTGACCACAAGTATGCGATTTGGGAAATGGTGGCACAGTCCAAGTGAGGCATTTTTCATATTTAACGGTTACCTAGCATAGTTTCAAAAAAGGACTTTAAAAATATCTATTAGCAGCGAAGCAAAATTCTGAAGACTACTCAGTCACTGCAATTACATGCATGATTTCTTTACTCTGTGCCACATCTCACTTTGGAGTGCATGTCCCACATTACTCAGAAGCACTTCCTACCTGCTTAAAATGAAGTAAATAGGTGTCAGATTTAACAATAACAAGTGATATTCACTTTTTCTAACTAATGATTTAATACTGGTAGTAGAATATGTCAGACTAATATTTTGATGTAGTGATAGTCAAATAGGACAGTTTTCTTCATGTGAGTTGGAGCCTTCCTTTAGGTCTGTCTTCTAAGTCAGTGTCTGGAAGGCCAGGCTTAAAACTAGCAATGTTTTCCAAGTGAGAACTATGGTCAGCTGTTGTAGTTCCAATGAAATAAAAGCAGATATTCTAACTTTCAGCTGTCGTCAGACATATCAAAGGCGTGTGAAATTATACTCCGTGTACATAAACATTTCACTGGAGAAAAAAGAATATGATAGAATGGTCTAACCTCATAGTTGGCTCTCCATTGAGCAGGAGGTTGGACAAGATGAATTCCTGAAGTCCAGACCTAAACCTGAAATCTTATGACCCTATGAACATTCAGATTTTTACCGAGTAACCTTGCATATTTTCTGTGTATATGTCCTTCTCTCTTCTGGCTGCTGCTTTTTCTGCTGTGTTTTCCAAATGTGGTTTTATGCACGCAGTCCTCAAACTTCAAAACGCGTCTGACAATTTTATTTGGCAATTTGAACTATAGTTAGTAAAAATATTTATTCATCAGTTGGTTAAATAGGAGGAGGAATGTTTTCTGGCCTTATGTATTTCACTGCCATTCACTGTTAACTGGTTTGAATGACAGATACTTAGGGAGAGTCGCATAGAATAGAAACACTGGACGTATTGTTTATAATTTTTTTTCATTTACATTTTTTGGTAGTTCTTCTATGTTTACAATACAGTCCTAACTTTCTCTCTAGATCAAGAATAAAATAACTTGATTTTTTTTTTAACAGTATTGTAGGTCATTAGGTTGTTATTTCTGTGAAAATAAAGGGGTTTATTACAGATTTCACCTTAAGTTTGTGGAAGGACACTGTATTAGCCCACTCGAAGAAGCACTGATAGAGGGTGTTATTTTTCAGTAAGTCATTTGCCAAAAGCCAGCTCTGATGAAGTCATTCTTGGAGTTAACTGTTCTGAGTTGCAAGTCCTTCTATAAAATAATTTTTTGCCCCCTCATCAATTACCTTTAAAGACTTGTTTCTCCAGTAGTGATGATACAGAAGAGTAATTTATCTTCTGGCATATAGAATAAATTGAATGAATAAAGAAACTGAGAGTAAAAAAACCCCAACCAACTGAACAATTAAGTGCCTGAGGTTGCACAGAAAGTTCATAATCAAGTATGGAACTCGGGACTTACCCACAAACTAACTTGTGCCGCTGTCGTGTCCATCCATACCCCCCCTTTGTAACTATGAGTTTTATTTCCTTCTGATCTAGAATTTTAGCAGACTTGTTCCTTTACAGTAAGCAAGAAGTAGGTTTTCAGGTTAATTCCTCACCATTATTTACTCTAAAGTAAAAAATACAGATGTAATTGTTGCCCAGAGAAGTGGTAGATGCTCCATCCCTGGAAACATTCAAGGTTAGGTGGGACGGGGCTCTGAGCAACCTGATGTAATTGAAGATGTCCCTGCCCATTGCAGGGGCTTGGACTAGATGACCTTTAATGGCCCTTTCCAACCCAAACCATTCTATGATTATATCTTATCTACTCTACAATAGGGAAAAGTTGTTACTGGAAGTATACATGTATCATAAAGAGTAGAGCTGATTTTTAATTATAGCAAAAACCTGCAAATTTACTCTTTTTCAAGTGCATAGAAGAAATGAAACGTGAAGCCAGACCTATTAAGATTGACAGAAGACTGACAGGTGCAAATATAATTGATGAGCCTTTGCAACAGGTAAGTTCTAACCACGTCTATTTAACCTATTTTTATTTTTGCAAGTATTGAGTATATAATATCTAAGTAGTTGAGAGACAACTAGAAGTTTAGAATTTTATCGTATTTGAGAGTGGTAAGTGAAAAACATGGAGGATGGGCCAGGATATTTGGCAATATTTGAGTCTATTTTCTGTACATTATAGTTAGCATAGTGGTGATAAATGCATGTAAACTATTGTGAAAAACAGGTTTCAGTATTTGAGTTGTAGTGTTTCACTCAAAATTTTGTAATGATAGGGGAGTATGGTTCACTATGCTAACCTTTTAAGATTACCAATGTTGCATTATCAGGCACAAAAAGCTATTCTGTATTTTGTTGTCTTTTGTTCATCAGTTCATCTTTATTTTTTTCCCTTTCCAATTTCAGGTAATCCAGTTTTCCCTGAGAGACTATGTGCAGTATTGGTATTACACACTGAGTGATGATGAATCGTTTCTTCTGGAAATCAGGCAGGCTCTTCAGTATGCACTTGTTCAGTTTTCTGCCAGGTAAGATTATTTGTATTTACATCAATACACTGTCTAAGCAAGTGGGCAAATACCTCTGTGGGTTGTAGGCTAGTAGATAAATGATTAAGTTTATCTATTGGCATAGTTCAGTGCATTTTACAGAAAGAACATGTAAAATTTTAAGATCGTAATCTATGAACTACAGTCTCTTGCTGATCCCTCAAGGAATGAATGGAGATGATGTTTATAGTCATGGCCTTTTCAAAATTTAGATTAATGTCTAAAATTACCAAATAACTTTTTTTTTTCTGCAACTTAAGCATTGAGTTGCATGAATCATCACCTTTCTGCATGCACGTCTGTTTCATATAAACAGCAGGCCTATTCCCAAAGTCAGTCAATCTGAAAGCTGTTAATTCAAGTATCTGTGTCAGCTCAGATAACTTTTCTACAAGTGGTGTCGCTCTTCAGTATGTAAGAACAATGAGTATTTTTAAAGGAATGGTAATCTGAGGAACGCAATGATATGTCACGTAAGTCTTTCTTTTTTAAAAAATAGTGTTGGTTCAGAACAAATAGTTTGTTAGTTGTCCTATGTTTTTCTTCTGCTTAATCAAGTAGCAGGAAGTGAGGGAACTTGTCTGGGAAATTGTTTGGTTTTAGTATGGCTGATTTCTCAGCGTGGGTACTGCATGACTTTATATCCATCTAATTTAAGTAATGATTTTGGGTATTCATCCCACTGTGCTGATTGTTACTTGTTTTCTCTTCAGAAGAGGTTGTGGGTCACCTAAATTTAATAAACCTCTTAGCAGTTTTTAGGTGTTGTTACCCCCTCCCTCTGTTAACTTGAAAATGTAGGTCAGTGTGCTTTTTTGGCAAGAAAGGCCAAAGATGGAGAGCTAATGGAGTTTAATGCTAAGAAAAATTCACGATAATAAAATCTTATTTATTGTGAAATAATGGAAATCTGAGGAAACAGTGTTGGAAATAGTGAAAAATAGGCTAAATAAACTGTATATTACAGCAAGCAATCCTGTGCTTACATGAAATGGACCTGACTACCCAACTTCAGTGTTTTTATCTATTTGTTGAAGTTAGTCATTGAACAGTATCAAGTGCTGGGTTTGTGTCAAAGCAGGTCAAGTTATACCCAATTTAATTTTTTTCCTAGAGTACTATAGCTCTTCAAAAATAGCTACAACTCCTGTGCAGTTCTGTACAAATCAAGTTGGTTTCACAGGGCTGCACCAGTTCTTGTTATAAGAGAAAATGATCTAGTGTATTTATAATGACTGTAGTTGGATATAGATGTAGCAGTCTTAGGTTAGTACCACCATCTCTAATTTCATATACCCTGTGAGTTTCTAGAGTGAGTGAATACAGTGGGATTTTTTTTTTTCTTTTTCTTCCTTAAGAGATGCACATTTGGGAGACTGATGTAAGGCTGCCATCTAGTGTTGTTGTGTGATTTGTTCATCGTGCAGATGGTGGATCTGGATTATTGATGGTTTTGATTGACTGCCCTTTGGGACAGCTCTGCTTCTTATTTCCATGTTTAGATTTTCCAGTAGGCTTCCCTCTCTTCCAGAGTTCTTTATCCCTGTCTTTCTCTTTGAGGGAAGAAAGAGCAGGTGAGGGAGCGAATCCTTCCCCAACACTTCTTTTTTTGTGGTTTGGGTTTTTTTTGTTGTTGTTTTGGGTTTGTTTTTTTTTTGTAAAAAAGTAGGTATATCAGAGAATTCAGGTAGTGGAATACTTAGTGCAGAGTAAAAGCCATCACTAAGATCTAGCTTCATTACACTTATAATGCACAATTTCCTCTTCAGTTTGGCTAGTAAGGCATGGACATCATAAGAATATCTGCATGTTTTTCATACCCCTAGGGAAATAGTTTTATGCAAATCTAATAGTGACTATTTTCTGATGCTAACCTATGTGCATTGTTAGAGATTTGCAATAATTACCTCTCTTATAAGTGGTTGAATTAATCATTGATAATATTAGGTCACCCGTAGCTTCAAATGAAATGTGTGTTTTCTCACTCATGCATATACTGTATATTCAGGAAAAAAATGGTTTTGTTTAGGTGCCTTCCAAAATGATAGAAAGTATGGCTGAAAAAAGACCTGAGGAGTATTTTAGTTTTAGGCTGTAGACTGTTGCTATCAGGATTTTTCACAGATATTGGATAATGTCATGAATCAGAACACTATTCCAGATACTGATGTTGACCTTAAAGTAATTGAAGCATGAATATTAATGTGGTGCAAGAGTGGTATTTTACAATATTTGATTTCTTTTCAGTGTTTGGGAATTAGGAGACTGATTTATTTCTTTGCCTTTCCATGTTTACTGTCAGTGCGGTTCTTGGCAGGGAGGAAGGAGAAGTAGAAATGTATTGTAATTCTTTGTGTTCAGGATAAAATAATTCATTTTCATGGATGTTCTTTTCTGCTAGGTCAAAGGAAACAGACTGGCAGCCTTATTTCACTACACGACTTGTTGATGACTTTGGCACTCATCTTCGAGTTTTCAGAAAAGCTCAGCAAAGAATAGCAGAAAAAGGTGATCAGATGAAAGGTAATGCAATGATTTAAATATTTTTGTACTTCATTCTGAGCAGACAGGTATCTTATATGTGTGAAATATAGTTAGCTTTATTTTATAATTCAAGTTTACTCTCAAGTTTCTAATCTTTACAAAAAAGTTTGTTTCTTTTTAATTTTTTTATATAGACCAAGCTGAGGAACTTGTAGATACATTCTTTGAGGTTGAAGTTGAAATGGAAAAAGAAGTCTGTCGTGATCTAGTCTGCACTTCTCCCAAAGATGAAGAAGGTCTCTCAATATTATCTTCTGAAGTTATTTTAGTATAGCAGACAAAATACTAACAGTTTTGTTCACAATATGAAATATACTGAAATCTTAGCATGTGACTTTCAAAGCATGATTATTTACCAGACATGTATATTTCCTCTAATTTTTACATATTAATGCTATAATTATAATGTAGAATATACATGTGTAGCTATTCCTCTTTTCATTGGAAGAATTTTAGGATAGAAATATGTTTTCTGGGAAGCAGGGGATGGCTTTGCAGATTCTTACTCATTTTTTGTTAGAACTGCCTTCCTCATCGCTACTCTGTAGTCTTCATGAAAAAAAAAATCGGTTTATCTTTTTTGGGCAAAGTATGAAGGAGGGGAAAAAAAATATATATGTTAAATAAGGAAAATACATTGGAGTTAGGTTTTTTTTTGGTTCTTGGAATTTGGCTTTCTTTTGTCTTGGTTTTGACCAAGATGTGTCTCAGGTAAACGTAGATGTGTGTCAGGTTTACATCAGTGCTGCTTATATTCAAGTCTGAAAGGTGTTACTGTGATGCTTGGACTATAGGAATATATATGACTGTATATTTGAATTAAATTTTAAGGATTTATCTGTTGTTTTCTATGATATCAGGTAAGATGTGAAATAACATAATACAAAAATTATGCTGAGGGTTTTTGGTTCTCTCTCCCTAGGATTCCTAAGGGATCTGTGTGAGGTTTTACTGTATATATTGCTACCTCCTGGAGACTTCCAGAACAAGATCATGCGATACTTTGTCAGGGTAAGTACGGACTCTAAAAGCTATCCCAATTCTTTGGTTTAATGCCATAAAAAAACTTAGATCTGAACTGCTGCTCTTATTTTGTAAAATTGATCTAATTTAGTATTAGATTATTTTAAATGCAATACAATCCTAAGTATTTTAATAGCAGAGAACAGTTTGTGTGAAATGTTTCTGAAGTTTCTTTTACCTCTAGCAACATGAGAAAAGCATGATAAAATGGACTTTGTTTTTCTTGAGATAGTAACATATTCTAATGTTAATTGGCAGGGAATGTGCTAGTGCCTGTTGAATATTTTGTGTAATTACACAGTGATTTTTAAATTATTGCAGTTATATTAGCTTTATGAATAAAAGTATAAAAATATTTATTGCATTTTGTTTTTCAGGAAATCCTCTCCCGAGGAATTCTTCTTCCACTAATAAACCAGCTCAGTGATCCTGATTATATTAATCAGTATGTCATATGGATGGTAAGATATGTAATGCTTAAAATGAATGATACTTCCAGAATATGTTCGTATAAAGCTTTATTTGTGTTTCCTATAATCATGGCAGATCGATATCTGGTAGAAAAGTTACCAATGGATATATTGGCAGAAATAGTGAACTTTTGGCTGCTATATTAAATTTTTTATATATATATATACACACATACATATATTCACACTTTATCTGCATTATTTGTACTCTGTGTTACAGTGGTTTGGAAAAAGTTGCCTGACTGAGGACAGATGTATGACAAAGTATAAAGTTGAGTCCTCTGGCTGTTTTACTTGGCTG